AAGAACAATGGGACAGGAAACGGGGGAGGGGAAGAGGCACACCTTTCCATGGATTCAAAGGGGCAGAAAGTGTCCCAAAATCCAATAAGCCCAAACAGACTTTTTAAAGGGCCATACGCCCCAGGGCCATAGTCACAGGGCAGGCTGGCAAGCAGGCTTCTCCAGGACCAAGTGGCGAAGGGCACTTCGTCACAAGTACCATTTAATGTGCATAGAGATTTGGCATTTTGTGTGTATATTACCCCCCTCCCCCCACCGTATTTGGGCTGATGGATGCTGCTGCCCAGAAGTAGTGGGAGTTTGAACACATGGCTTATTTTTGTTAGTTTCTATTTGCACCTGTATTACGCAGCATTGTTGCCACACTCGCAATGTTTGCCCAATTTACGGGTTAATTAGGATGTAAAGGCTCATAAGAATAACCCTGTCTCCTTAGAGATTTTGCTTTCTAGCTGAAATCATCAAGGAGATTACTGTAGAAATCAACTCTGGCTTGAAAGGGTGTGTGAGCTTACACTTTAATGGCTATTGAAGTAGTACAAAAAAACTCCCAGATTTGGGATAATGCAAGTTTGTTTTGGTTTTATATATTTGGGCGGTTGACATTACTGCCGCCCAAATTCAGTGTTAGTTTGACATGACTTTTTTTTCAGTAGGTTTTCATAAATAATACAAATGTAACTTAAAGATGACAAAGTTTCCTCAATGCAATGGCTGGCTATCAAAGAGACACAGTGACCTTCAGCTGTTCCACAAATTGATCAACAGAATGTTCCTAGTTCCCCATCTGCTGTAATTACCTAGTATTTTAACTGTACCTGGACGTTGCAAATACAATAAAAAAAATTACTGCAATTTCCCCAACATTATTGGGAAGAGTCTTTATATGTGTGCCAGCATTCTAATTAAACAGTATATAAATTGGGATATCATCCAATATGTAGAACACATCACTTGATATTACTGCAAAGATGATGTGGGGATTACACATTATAAACCTTAACAGCCAAGTTTCTAAACTCAAATCTATTTTTGCGTAAAATGTGCTATCACCTTGTTAATTCTCCACCTCCAATTACCAGTGAATAAATTAGTGAATAAACCAATACGTGGCATTTGTAGTGCAAGTGATAACGATTGCAAAACATTTTCCAACAAAGTGGCTATTATGACACTTTATTTTATTAATGGGAAACATACCGTAATGATATGAAAGGTGTAGTTTATAAGGAAAACATCCAATTTCATTATAAAAGAACATTAGGTGCTGTTCCTACTGCAGATACTGATTTCAACAGGAAATTGCCATTGGATAAAGGTCATTATGGCTGAAAAAGTGATAATAAAATGCATTTGGTAATTTTATTTAACCCTTATCCCAAAAAAACTCAATAATTCTATTGTTTCGTAATAAATGCTGACAAACCAGCAAGAAGCTGAAACCTAGGTACGTATATAGAAAGTATAAGCAAATTAAATATTCTCTGCAAACTATATTGAGATCGTCAACATTTACACAGAGCATGTCTTAGTATTGGTCCTCTCACCTTGCTTTTGCAGATATTGGAGGACATGAATATAATATAAAGGGGATTATAGTGATTATTTCTACCAAGGTGAAAAGAAACACTTCATTGACAAAATAAAATAAATACATCACTATTTTGTAGATATAACCCCAATGAAAATATGCAGATCTATTATTATATATCTTTGCAAGCCCTCCCTTTCTAACTCCTCCCAGACGTGTCTTGCCTGTCCAGTCACAGATAGTCCAATCCAGTTTAATGAGAAGTCTTTGCAAGGCAGGTGCTTTGGGTAATTGTTGCCTCTTGAGATTAGATCCACTGAGCTAATCAAACCAGGAAGTAACAGAACCTGTTGCCTGATTGACAGCCAGTGGGGGTGTAACAAGTTTAATATAATATAGTGCCAATTTCTACTGAAATCACTTTTTGTAAGATGAGAAAAGGACACACTTCACACATAAAGCACTTACGCAAGAAAAAGTGCTTTAGATATTTGGAGTGTCCCTTTAAAGCTGTCAAGGTGGCCTGAATATTTCAGTTTGGGTATGGGAACCTTAGGGACACCTAAAATACAGAAATGGAGCAAGATATAGCATCTAAAACAGAAATGGATATGGTTCATGTCTATCTTATAATATTGCTAAAGTAAAGATTATCTGAGAAGTCCAGTCTTTACTAAATTACATTACTACCATTTTTGAAGAAATAAAAATGACCAAAAATACAGATTTCCTCACCATTGTACCTTTTTGGTGTTTCTAGTTGCATGATGTGCCATAGGTTTAGTCACCAGAAGACTTTTTTTTATTCTTTCTTTGAGGAAGCAGGTGGTATGTTCTTAATGGAAACTTAATACCATTGTATTCCAGAGCATTAGCAATCTCTGTGGCCAAATGCTAAAAGCTAATGCATCATAACTATTCACCCTGAGCAATGTTCATATTTAGAAGAGAAATGGATTACACTCAGTGGCTGATACACAGGAGAGAGACGCGAGAATAACAGGAAGCTTACTCCAAGCACATATCACGCAAATTCACAAACTTCTTTATATTCAATATAACTTTTAGAGATTGCATTCCATACAAAGAGAAAAATGACTGGGTAGGAGGTGTGACCAATGTTGGTAATGAGGAGCATGTAGACGAGATGATATTATGGAGATAAGTGGATTGGAAAACAAGAGGTACAAGTCCTAGCAGGTTATTTAGAGAAAGGACAGATTCAGCAGGCTGTGGTGCCAACCCCACAGGGAATTAGGGAGAATAAACAATCTTCAGACAAAGGTGAAGAGACAGATCAGAAAAGGTCCCTACATCAGCTAGTTCACAAACAAGTTTCCAGAGGTTCCAACTCCTGGTGGGAGTGGGGCAGTTGATTGTTTGCCTTGGCACTGAGAGCTATGACAAGTTCAGTCAATAAATATTTTGTCAATTTAGAGAACAACAGAAATGAGTTGGTATATGTGATTCCATGCTCTTGGATGACAGTACCAATTTTGAAGTCATAAAATGGATGGCAGTCATTATTTGCCAATGCCCTGATGTTTATGTTTTGTGAATATGGATTTCGATGCCTCTCTGCAATGAGAGCCTTTAAGTGCTGGGGCGGTTAGCTTTACAAAAGTTCCCTATGTAAGTGGTGGCATGGACACAGTTAAAGATCATTGAGATTTGCCAAGACGTGGGGAGAATTTGGGACAACTGATTCCCACTCATTGCATAGTGTGTTCAGGCAGAATACATATTTGGATGGTCCATATTGCTAAGGTGTAACATGTTGGAGACTCAAATTGAGATTTTAATATAAGACTACAATAGCCAGACTAATGCTATTCTCTGAGAGTATTTATGTTTTCATATCAGCTAATGTGACCCGATAGAATCTTGTGAGACAATAATGACGAAGTGCACCGTCTTCATGTATGACCACTCAAGAATAAGGGATGGATTTAGGGTCCAGGTGAATACCCCACCAAAATGGCTTTAAAAAAAGTAGGGTCTGAAAGGACAGCCTCATATTAGCATAATCACAATACAGTGGTTATGGTGCTTGGAGCGTATACAGAATTCTAATAGCAATCGTTCATCTGGGTTTTTTTTTTCCCCTCTTAAGCATCTCTTTTCAAAAGTGACCAAACAAAAGGGTAGTTAGAATATGGCTTTACACTCTTTAACAAACAAACTATGGCTCTAAAAAGGTTTCATTTCACAAAGACAAAAACATGTATAATAATAAAATAAAAAAACCTTACAAAAATTTTTTTATTTTAAATTAATGTTGCAAAAAAAAAGAATCTAAGGCTGGACACTGAAACTGCTTTTGTGGCAGGACTAGAACTTCTGTCACCCTCAGCCAACAAGATGTGGTCCAGAATTACTTGGAACACTGCAGTTGCCTCGTTCTTTGTATAGTACATTTAATCTGCTGAGATGCCAAGACAGCAATCACTGCCTCAGAGTCTTGTTATTGTTTGTACTACTGCTATTGTGTATGTTTTTGTTGCTCATTTCATAGGTGGCATAGAACAGGAGACATCTGTCCTGATTTGTGTTTTTGTGTTCAAGAGGTCATTGCACGTGTATTATGAGAAGAACACCATAAATTTACTTCTCATATGACATTGAAATAAAGCACTGGGAACTATATTGTGCCAGATATATTTTCCACTTGCTGCAGCAACAACTAGCTCACCTTTGGAGAACGCCTGTAAACACTTAATGTATCAGGAACAAGATGTTACATATCACATCAACAAAGAAATTCCTCTTGACACGAACGTGCTGTAATCTGCTAACATTAAATGGACACTTCAGATTGGATTAGACCCCTCTTCTTTAACACATTCAGGGTTATTCCCTAAACTCATTTTTTGGGGGAAATTAAATTTAAAAAAAATCAAGGCAAAAATAGCAGATTGAGAAAAATTCTCCAACATAACTTGGCGAATGTTACCTCTGTTTTTCATTTGGATTTAAGTTCAGATTGGAATATGTCTTCTTTTCTCAGGATATCTGGTGTCTGTTTTCATGCTGTGCATTGTTTTAACTTAATGCTTCTTTTGGAAACTTGTGCTTGTGAATTTACCTTTACCGAGCGGAGCTCTCTGCCATATTAGGGAAAGAAAAGATAAGCTAAATATTTGTGTTCAGGCTGATGACCTATGTTCCTTGGGCACAAACAATCATCAAGTGGCAAGTTAGGATCTACTCAAGGCATTTATTTGGACTACCAATTTTCTACTTTTCATTACGTCCAAGTTTTGACTTTTTAATTTCTTTACTTGCCTGGAATATTTTGTTTGCTCTAACAAGATCGTTTTGCAACAGCAGCCTTTGCACTGTAGATATTCGATGCAGAAACCCAACACCTCTAAATATCAGCGCACGTCATAGCACCATTGTTGGCTACAGAAACCTTCAAAACGAAATTATTTTACTTTATTAATAAATGTTAATAGCAATATACAATGCACACACCCATTTTAAAAGCACATTTTTGTGTTGAATTTTACACAGTGTGACTAAACAAGAAACGCCACCACGAGAAAACAAGCACCTAAAACAATAATTTATTGTTCTGTATAAGAAGTTAAATTCAGATTTAAAAACATAGCAAATGCTAGTAAATCAACGACAAGTTCAAGTATGGAGAAGTGAATAACAATACAAAACGTGAACAAATTTTTTTTGTTTTTGTTTCTAGCATGGGAAACTGTAAAATTAGAATTAAATAATTATACCTAAAATGGAAATACATTGAACTAGATACACAATATCACAATCTGAGAAACCGATTTTTTTAGACAGTGTTTCACCTCATACACAAACAACTAGAGACGATGAGAAAACAACCAATAGCAACAACAGATTAATTCTTCAGACCAGTGACATCCAATCATGGCTTTTCAGATAATTTTCTGCTGGGCTGTTTAAGAAAAGAGGCAAACACATGGTGTGCATTTCAAGACTGAAAACAAACAATTTCTGTTTTGTAATTGTCGATGTTGTGGTATTTGTTATTGGCAAAGTCCAAAAAGCACAATATACCACTTTTACCTTACACAGAGGTTCATAAAAAATACAATAAAATAAATAAGAAATAGTGATTATTTGACAGCGTTTGTGTTACATATTTCTCCCAATATGTGCAGCTAGCGTGCAAAATCAGGTCTAATCTTTTAGCACCAATTTCACAAAATGCTTGCCAGTGCTCTAACTACCCAGTGATCTGAAAATACAGCAAAAAGGCCTTCGTGGTCTGCTGATTCAGGAACGCTAATAAAAAAATAATAATACACTGCTTTAAGGCTGTAATCTGAAAAAACAAAACAAAAATAATGCAACTGTTTCCCCCTTAAACAAATGTAATAAAGTGGATTGGGATTCTCATGGCCTTTAAGACAAAAAATGCCAGTGTTTATTCCCATAGCACAGTAGTGTTAGCAAATCCTCTTCCATGAAATCACGGCCTAGTTATGCATGCGCGTTAACTCACGTCTAACCCCGTTAATATAGTCACCATGTGAATAACGGAATACATTCTTACTGCTTTTTTGTTTTGTTTTACTAATATTACATTTGTGATTATAATTTGTTTTCCTGAAAGTCAAATACGGTTTAAAACAATGCGGGTTCAGTAACAAAATGCAATGTAATTTAATAAATGGCAGGGTTATTTACAATGAGAATTGTTAAAAACAGAAAAGAAATATGAAAAAAACAAAACAAAAAAAAACTTTTTGTAAGTGCTATAAGAATTCACCCTTTGTGAGTGTTTAATGCTGCTCACCTCTCAAGCATTTAAAGAGTGATCGCAATCAGAAGGTAACTTGAAACATATACATTTAGAGAATAAACCGCTATTTACAAAATTAAACCTCAATTGTGCATAATACAATAAATGTTTCCTGATATTCCGTCTGCTCTTCTCCTAAATAGTTTATTACTATGCATTATATTATATAACAGGTTACACAAACTTTTCAATTAATAATCTACGGATTCCTTGCAAACACACCTGTGCTAGAATTAATCTCAAAAGCATTAAAATAGATTGGAAATATATACATGGAATGTAGCGATCACGTTCGATCGCCCTCATGAAATAGTCCATCCCTTTTTTTGATTGACTAAAGAAATACATTGTTAATTATATACATATATATTTCTATGACCTCATCTAATAAATACAAAATAAACTGAGTGTGGATTTACAGCTCTTTTATTGACCCATTTTAAACAAGATATTAAGTTGGAAAGATGTAAATTTCTCGTAAAGATATCATGGGATGGGAATAGTGACAAGCATGCACCTAACTAATGGTTAAAGATTGTTCCAGTGACATTATTTAAGGTAACCCAATTATGCCAAACAGTGTAGCATCGGATAAGACTAAGTAGAATGCAATGTATTGTGGGTGATAATATAAACGCAGGGACTCTCTTATTTTTCTTTGTAGATTCAATTATATTTAGTGATTTCAGACATAACCTCAATCACGTTCCACCTGTTTCATCATGCTCGTTGTTCGCTCCCTTCCAATATCGTGCAAAAAATGATTTCCTAATCTAGAAGTGTTCTAAATCACCTTACACAACATTGTAGCCCTCTCAATCAAATAAACAAAAAACAACCAAACAAAAACAAAAAACAATTCATACAAAAACAAACTAGCTAAATATTAGAATGCAGCCAACATTCATGTAAAAAGTAATGTAATCTGATAAAAGGTTGATATGTCTAAAATTCCATGCCTTCCTATGGCAATACTTGGTTGTTGTATAACTACATCTCCCATGATAAATTGCCAGCCTTTAGAATGGAAAAGCATCATGGTCAGTTCAGTTCTAAAACGGTGGGAGATCTGCTTTTTCGCCAAACCTTACCTTGTTGGTCACGTAATGCTCAAATGTATAATTGCAATTAACAACAAATCATTTCCAGAGTAACTAAGTACTCCACTACTATGCTATATCCGTGGATTACAATATTTTAATAATCATTTTTATAATTTAGTGAATTGTCTACAACATGTGATGCCATTGTTGAAACTTTCAGTTGGAAGAAATAAAAGGCACTGGCCAAAAGTAGTAAGTACCCACAAAAAAAAAAAGATGTGAAATAAAAGCATTTTCAAATAATCTAAACCCAGGCAAATTTAAAGACCAGTGAATTTGATCTGTAATTATAAAGTGCGTAAGAAAATGTTTTTTTGACCTTTTTCCTTTCTCAGAGTGTCTCTTGTTCTGATGATATACATAGATGAACTGTGTTTTTGGGGTGTGTGAACAAGTGAATAGTGGAACGGGTTGACACTTTATAAACAGGTGAATATAACCTTTTTTTAGAAGGCATATTAAGCAGGTAGAATACATAGAGTTTCTTTTCCTCCAAAACTATCCTGGGATTAAAAACTGCAAAATTTTATCACAATATCACTCAGTTTACAGATATGTGCACTATGCACATAAACCTTAAGACAAATTAACGAGTGTATATATATATATATATATATATATATATACATATACATATACACATACATATACACACTTGTTAATTTGTCTTAAGGTTTATGTGCATAGTGCACATATCTGTAAACTGAGTGATATTGTGATAAAATTTTGCAGTTTTTAATCCCAGGATAGTTTTGGAGGAAAAGAAACTCTATGTATTCTACCTGCTTAATATGCCTTCTAAAAAAAGGTTATATTCACCTGTTTATAAAATGTCAACCCGTTCCACTATTCACTTGTTCAAAGTTAGTACCTTTATAATTACGGTCTCTCTCTCTCTCTCTCTCTCTCTCTCTCTATATATATATACACACACACTTGTTAATAAACCTTAAGACAAATTAACAAGTGTATATATATATATATATATATACACACATATATATATATATATATATATACACACACACTTGTTAATTTGTCTTAAGGTTAATGTGCATAGTGTATATATATATATATAGAGAGAGAGAGAGAGAGATTCCGTAATTATAAAGGTACTAACTTTACTTTTTTAACCCATGTTTTGAAAAGGACACTTACTAACCAACACAATTTTGTTCCTCCGTGTCCCAGGCCACCTACAAAAAACTGAGAGAGTGCATTGAACCCTTAGAGTGCCAGAGAACAGGTCAACATAATGCTGCAATGGTTACCCCATCCCGAAAGGAAAACAATCACCATTCTGGGAGGAGATTGTGGGATGAGAGTGCATCATGTATTAATGAGATTTTATTCTTTTGAAAGTGCTAATAAACCTCAGTGTGCATTACAGATTTTGCCAACTCCAATATATACTTACAGAGCGTGTTGCACGTCTAGACCTGTTTTCACTTATAGAAAAAGAATATTTAGTGCACAGTGTTTAGAAGAATCAATTATCTGGTATAAGCATTAATGTCCTATTCTGTGAATTTAAAACCACGCAAACTGTGAAGGAATTTCAGCGTTCATGCACGTTCCTTACAGTTTTGAGTTTTATTCACTAAACAGTGAATTGTTGCAAGGTAACAAATGTGTGTATTTAGATAACAATGGCCTGTGTCTTCGGTACCTTGGCCTGCATTATAACAGACTATACCATAATTCACATTAAACCATTGATGTTCCGCTATTATGAAAGGACAGAGCTGGTTCTTTCCATGTCCTGAAACAAGTTAATTTTGCTTGTGTTACCCACAGAATAAAATAGTTATTAAATAAATTACCTTTATATAAAAATATCATCTTAGAGCTGTATTCGATTATGAGAGATAAAATGAACTCTAATAAGTAATAGTCAATTCCAGGGATAAGCTTATCTCTGAGAATAGAATATAACCTTCAACAGGCTGTAAAAAAAACGGCTTTTCTACGGACTTACTTTTTTTTTTTTTTTTAAACACATTTCATTCCTCAGCCTTACCCGTGAGTTATCTTTAGTTTTTTTTTGTTTTTGCCTTTACTACTTTAAATACATAAAAAAACATTGATGAGAACATTTCTTTTTCATTTTGTACCAGTAATAACTAACAATAGCATTGTATTAATTAAACATTAGAGAAAACATATTTCGAACCAGTATTATTCCAGTGTAAAAACGACCCTTGGATTTCACCCCTTTATTGCTAAAGGAGCCTGAATAGCAACATGAATTGCAGTTAGAATTCTATGTGGCAGTGGCTTAATCTGCAGGTCATTGGCTATGATCTTCAACTCCTATCACTATTCTCCAGCACAGATGCAGATTTCCCACAAAATTAATCAATGCACAGCCCATATATTTCTGATACAGTTCTAAATGTCATATCTAGCAGTGCCTCGAAACCTTTGTCGGAGATGTGAGGTTAAAATCAGTTTCCCTCATCATGACTTGAAAAGCTATATCTGTGCCATGTGCTACAATACGTTACTAACCCGCTAATGAAATTATCTTCTTATAATACTAACCATTACAAAAATAAATAAAATCACAGAATGGTGCAATCTATAAAAACATGTAAATGTTGCCAAGTAAACTTGCTTAACCCAACCTGCACATTCCCATTCCTACGGAGAAGTGTTCGGAAATTAAAAAATAAATAAAAAAAAGTTAAAATCATTAGGTTTTTCTGAAATGTATTACACGGTATCCATCCAGTAGAATAAAAACAGAATTTAAAATGGATCCTTGCAGAGCAGCCAAAAAGCCCACCAACAAATATAGGTCTACATCTGTGAATTGTACACAAATCAAAAATTAAAAACAATAAAGATAAAATAAAAATCTGCTTGGTGTGATTTGCACTGGTTCAGGAGTGTAACCAGTTTACTGGAACCCAACAGCTCTCGCTTTCCAGCCTGTCGAGTGTTAATTTCAGTTCGTTGTATGCTGTGGTGAGATCATCATTGATTATGACTTTATCAAAAAGATGGTCATATTGGACTTCCATCAGTTGTGCTGACCGAATCATCTCTTCAAAATCTTCTTCCTGAAAGAAAGAAAAACAAAACGGCCAATGGAATCATGATCATGATAAAGCCTTCTTTACCAACATTAAAGACAAATTAAGTCATGAAAATGTGGTCTCTAAGTATTGTATTCTAGCACGGAATGTAGGATAACAGAACATAGTGGAGTTTTTTTTTACTACACTGGGAACTGTGATCTACTGGAAATAAAACTCCAAAATCTACTCAAAATTAACCAAGGTGGAAAATGTGTCAAATTCTCTGGAAAAGTTGGCATTAAGTTTCTAATTGTCTTGAATTCATCCAAAGTTATTATTAAGTAAATAATCCCTAGCATATAATCTGAAAGGCTTGGGACATCTCCAATTGGGACATTCTGTCTTTCTGTGTCTCATTAGGACTGCCTCGACATACCCGTCTATATGATTTATCCTCCACACCATTTAAATTCAATCTCATTGAAACTTAAATAAATAGTAACCAGTTAGACCACACGGCAGTGTTATGTACAGTATGTGTTCTGTATGTCAGTGTGTTTTTGCAAACCAGTGCAAATTAGTAGACATTTTTGGCAAATCTCTTGTTTATAAACCACTAAAGCCAATAAAAAGCTAATTTTCATGAAAAAAAACAGGAGCCAGAGACAGGGGGAATTAAAATAAAATTGTATGAGAAAACTTTATTGAAGCAAGACTGGATCTACTGAATTTCCAAAGTGAGTTCACATTTTCCTATTGGTTGTATTTATCCAGAGGAAAGGAAGTAAAAAAGCACACAAAATAAATACGTTAATGTTTATTTTTATTCTAATGAAAGTAATTAGTGTCAAACTGAGTTATCGGCTGGCTATTTCAAATCCTGAATGGCAAATTCAAAAAAAAAAAAAAAAAGATACTGAGCATGCCTAGAATTTCAACAATGTTAACTGAACTTACAATTATTCTCAGTATGCATCACAACTATACTGTGCTATGATAAAAGGGACATCTTAACCCCGCCTCCTCTGTCCTATCTCCTTTCTAAAATTTTCCCCTATCACTGGCTACATACTGCATCACATGATGTCACAGCTCAGGGACATACAGCACTGACTGTACCCAGAATAGATTATAGCTCCGCACATTAGATGTAGTCTAACATTATGTGCAGTGTTAGGTTTCAGTTCATTCTACTGAATGGTTTTGAAGAATAAACTGTTTTGCTCCATAAACCTGTCCTATCTACCTGTCCTAATCGGCAGTGTATTCATTTTTCTCAAATACGTCCCTTGTTCGGTCATTTTGAAGCACGGGTAAGGATTCTAGGACTTGTAGTGTGGCTAACAGCTATCAAAAGATGAGGGCCACCTTTCCCTTAAAGGAGCACGCCATTGATAATGTTATTTTCATTTGAACTATTTAGTAGATATACCATCAACGATTACAGGCATGTATTTGTTTACACTGCATACATTTTTTGAAATAACAGCTTGCAGCCTTTACAAGCCCTGCCCTCTTTCCCAGGCACAGATTTTCAGTCTAATTTCAAAGGCTTTTCATTGAGAAGCCATTGTGCTGGATATGCAGACGTGATCCTGGCTTTCCTGTGCTTCTTTAAGTACCCTACTGAGTAGGGGTAAGGCAAGCATGCGCTAGCCCAGTGCAAGTGCAAGCTGAAATGCTTTATGTGTCTTGAAGGTTAGTCTAAAGATCTGCAATGGAAAGATTTATGGGATGAGTTCAGCACTTGCCCGAGACAGTGTTTGTAACATCCTGATTGGCTGACCATTTCCTGGTCTTACTACAGGACCTAAAGCGTGGAGATTTAATACAAATGCAGCAACTTCAAATGTCTCCATTGTTTTATGCTTAAAAAAAATTTAAACATGTATTAAAATAGAGAGCGTACCCATTCTGGAGTGACCCTTTAATTGCAGAATGAAGTGACTAGTCTCAGTCTTGATACATTCTTAGCTGGAAAGGTATCCAAGCATAACCAAAGGCTCCTAAATTAATAAGATTTTTTTTACCTCTCCCTGGTGAGGGTACACTGCATTGTCTATTCAAACCATATGCAAAGCGCGTTTAACATGCTCAGAATAGGGTAAAGAGTGCCAAACGTTGGCACATGCACCAAATACAGCTGTTTCAGTTCATGGACCTTGGATGAAAATAACTTTTTTCCCCATATCTCTTAAAGCATAAGTGGAATTTATACCTAACCCTATTATTGTATAAATGTTTTAAGAGATATTTAATTGGATTCATGTCATTTAACGATTGTTCTCGCTATGAGATCATTACAGTTGGTGAACACTTCAATGTTGTATTTATAAATTTAACCTTTTATTTCTTCTTAAAGTGACAGCTAAACCAAACGTTATTTTATTTTGAAAAACTATGGTCCTTTTGTGTATATTTCAAAGAAACTTGAATGTAACATTTGTTTATAGGCCACATGAATTTAGAATTTTCAGGTGGTGGGGGAGAAGGGGTGCTGT